TTTTAATCAATAAACAGGTTGTATTGAAAAAATAAAATATACCAAAAGATACAGCGGGAAAAGCTCTACAATTTACATACTAAGACTTTTTTTTAAAGTTGCATTTTTTGTTTTCAAAATAGACACATTTTTGGAACGACCCAATTTCGACCGTGCGAAAACTGATCGCAGAGAATTTTGCTTTTTTTAAAAACAATTACAATGAGCTTCACTTTGTAAATTGCAGAGCTTTTCACGCTGCATCTAGTGGTATATTTTGTTTTTTTTTTAAATAAAGGATATCAAGTGATAAAATGATGCAATAAGAAAAAACGAATCCATTTTATACAAAAAAGAATATCGTTTTCACACGGTCGAAATTTGATCGCTCAGCCGATTTTGAAAACAAAAAGTACAACAACAAAAAAACGGTCTCATGTAAATTGTAGAGCTTTTCAAGCTGTATCTTTTGATGTATCTTGTTTTTTTATTAATAAAACATATCAGATGATAAATAAAAAAAACGCATTGGTCGTGTATTGAAAAGAGACTTTCGCAGCGTCGAAGTTTGGTTGCTAAGAATGTTGTCGAATTTGAAAAGCAAAAAGTCCAACTGTAAGAAAAGCTGTCTTATGAAAATTGTAGAGCTTTTCACGCTGCATCTTTTGGTATATTTTGTGTTTTTAATACAACCTGTTTATTGATTAAAATATGAAATGCAAAAAGCGGACATTCATTATGGGTCACCCGTTATAAGTAAGAGTTTATTTTTCCATAATTGTTGACATCCTATTTTCGCAGATTTCGTTCAAAAATAAAGATAATAAACAAATGCTTTTCAACTTTGTTGAATTGTCTATCGGAACAATCAGCTCAGCTAGTTGATAATATGAGTGTCAAAAAATGATATTAAATTAGATTTTTTCAACGTAGATACGTTGCAATAGAAATATATACTATACTAAACAAATTAATAAATTCTTATTGCCAGAAAGTATGTAATTTAACCTGGCTAGTTGAGTCTGTATGAAAGACGTATCTTGTAAAAACAGTTCGTAATACTGTGTCAGTGAATATAAAAAATTCATTAATATGAAAGACACTAACTATGGTACGAAATCAAGCTGGTTTGCTGATTACCAATCTGTCTTGGTTACATTTAGGATCGATAGAAACATTAAAATGATTTTGCAGAGTTTTCAAGTTTCGCATATCTCTAACGAAACTTTATTTATCACTCACTGTCACCTGTTTTTATATATGTCATTCACATCGAAGATTTGTTACAATTTAACAAATATTTTACAACTTGCAAGAAACTTGAGGGTAAGGCCCTATCATTTCCAATTGCGAAAAACACATTTCTTTTACTTTTTATGCTGCAGTCAAAGTATACTTTAAATTGTTTTTCTTTCCGAAAAGCTGTAGATGACTCCCATTACGTCATGTGCCTTTTTCTGTCAACATTGTGAATGCATATGTAGAGGATATCGCTTTTTTTTCGTTCTTATGTAAGAAGAAGAAAAATATTCCTTCTTTTAGCAATAAATTTAAGACAGAACATCGAACGACACAGTTTCACAGTTGAAAAAAGAATAAGGACAGAAGGATAATCGAGACACGTTTTGTACTCCGAAAAAACTTGTCTCACAAATATGGCTACTAGCAAAAGTCAATCGTCCGAAGTATCTACCTCAAAGAACAAAACAATCAGTGAGCCAACTACTCCTAATCTTGAATCATTCACATGTTTATGGCTGGATCAAAATGTTGATTCGACACAGGACAATCGAGATACTCAACAAGAACTTCGTAAAATCATCAATCATCTTCGAACATTTGATAATAGTGATCAATGTGAACAGTACATTCGAAAGATCACTCAAGAAAAGGTTATTCTTATTGTATCAGGTTCATTAGGTCGACAAGTCGTACCTCGACTTCATGATCTTCCACAATTTTCTGCATGCTATGTCTTTTGTCAAGATAAGAAAGCCAATGAACAATGGGCTAATAAATATTCCAAAGTAAGATATTTGATCATAATCCTAGTAAAATCTTTCGGTTTTCATACTGTAGATCAATGGAGTTTTTGTTGAACGTGCTAAACTCGTTGCTCAAATTTCTAAAGATCAAATCGTTCGAGCCAAAGTGGAAGATGGTACTTATATATCAGTAATTACTTCTTGTTCTAAATCTCTTCAAGCTCGTAATGCTATTTTTATGTGGTTCCAGTTATTTATTGAGGTTCTTCTTCGTATGCATCACAAGTTTAGTGATCGTAAAGAACTTATTGATATTTGTAAGAAGAGTTACAAGAATAACTATGAAGAAATGAAAATCATTGATGAATTTGACAAGAACTATAAGCCAGAAAATGCAGTTTGGTGGTATACACGAGAATCATGTTTTTATCGAATAGTGAATAAAGCGTTACGTGTTCAAGATTTTGACATGTTATTTGCTCTTAGATTTTTCATCACGGATATCGCCAAGCAAATTAGAAATGAATATGAGGAGTTTATTCATATAAGTGAAACTCGAAATAGTATTCGAGTATATCGTGGTCAAATAATTGGAAATGATGAACTTGAATTGATGAAGAATAATATTGGTCAGTTCCTTTCGATGAATTCATTTTTATCGACTAGTCGTAATCTATCGACTGCTCTTCATTTTGCTCGACTAACTCCAGTTATTGATGGTATTCAACGCATTATCTTTGAAATTGAAATCAATCCACGTTTACAAACGAAGGCTTTTGCTGATATTACTAAAACAAGTTATTTTCAACATGAAGATGAAGTATTTATCATGCTTGGTGCATTATTTCGGATCGAAACAGTCATGGAAGATAAAAACGATCGAGTATGGGTAGCCCATGTGTCTCTAGCAAGCGAGGATGACTTTCATTTAAAAGAGACATTTGCTCATATGAAAGACACTATTGGTGACGATACTGATCTGGATACTCTCGGTAATATTCTGATTGAGATGGGTGAGTATGATCAAGCGCAAAAATGTTACGAATTGATGATGTACGACTCACAGCTTGGCGTCAGTAGAGCATTCCGTGGGCTTGGATGCGTCGCCAATGGAAAAAAGGATACGAATCAGGCGCTTGAGTATGCACGATCAGAGAAATCCATCAAAGAATCTATTCTATCCAAAGGCCACGCTGAGTTGGGATCCTTATACAGTTGGATTGGTGGGCTGTATTGGTCGAGTTGTGATTACGATCAAGCTTTAGCTTTCTTGAATATGGCGCTTAAGATTCAAGAAAAGGTAAAACCAATTGATCTTCCTAGATTAGCTGCAACCTACAATCGAATGGCTATTACATATGACTGTATGAAAGCGGATGGTTTAGCAGAAAAGTATTACAATAAAACTCTTATGACTCAAAAAACTGTCCTGCCATCTGATCATCCTAGCATAGCTCTGACATACAATAATCTCGGTTGCTTGTTTCGTGACAGAAGAGATTATGTTCAAGCGATGGAGTACTATCAAAAGTCTCTTGCCATCAGTCAAAAAACTCTACCTCCTACTCATGAAGACATTGTTCGTACTGAAAATAATATTCGTGGCTTGAAAAATAAAATGAAAAAGTAATCTGGTCCTGATGGATATCCATATAATCAAACATTCTCATACTATCGTACATAGTTCACGTTCTATTACTTATTTTTGTGTCTACTTCCTTTTTAACTAAAATAACCTGTTTGAAAAAATAAAATTACAATTATGCGTAGTTGAGAAAACTAAGTCAATTTCTCTTTATAATTGTTTCATATTTTTCAAGTATATGTTGAAGAACAAACACAATTTCATGATTAACAACTTTGTGTTAGAAGAAGTTTTCAATAGCATAAAAGAGATATGACTGATACTTGATACGAGTCTTCATTATGTGATCAGTCGCACGTACCAATATAAGTGTTTTCCGCTTTGTAGCAATTGCTTCAATATGCAAATCGTCCACAAAACTGTGTCCCCATCGTATGCCAATGGTTCAACTTTTGATAAACATGTTTTAGTGCAAACTTTTGGGCACATTATCAGCATCGCTGTATTCAAAAGGTAAACAGATTAAGTTCATTTTTAAAATGATTTCTATTGTGACGAAGTTTAAAATCATTGAGTTCTATTTGAATAAAACTGACCAAATACTTTAGTAAAAAGCTTGTTCATAATGCCCTGCAAAAAACAATCTCTATACAAAGTAAACGATACTTTGTTTGTTTGCTAAACAAATAAAGACATCCTTGGCTTATTAACTAAGGCGAATCATGCGCTAACTCATCTTATGTTATCATCTGTCATTATTAAATTTCATCTTCCCAGTTATATCATCAAATAAGTGTAGGCTCGGTATATTACTTGAAAATTCTAGAAAATAGGATGGTTTCGTTAATTTAACAAAACAAATTAGCGTAATACTCTTTTGCTTGACAACAAAAGCATTATAAATACACATGTGACAAACATTAGCCGTCGTTGAAACCGAGTTGTAAATACTTTGTTGACGAAAACCATGTAACTGGAATATTTCGAAAGAATAGTTACATGGAAATACAAAAAAATAAGACTATATCGTCACTATAAAGCTCTGGTGCAGTTCATAAACACTTGTTCATATTAGGTATGTATTTATAGTGACAATACCACTGTACTTAGTGCATATGTGAGTTTAAGAAAAGCGACAGCTATCTAAACTGTTTTATTCCAGAATAAAGCAGAAAGGGTACCGATGTGGTTGTGGGTGCAGATGTAGTTTTCTCTCAGCCATATCCAGACTCATATCCACATCCGCATAATTATTCTAATTGAGGAGAAAGTTAATGTGATCTTGCGTAAAACACTTGTTGATTATAATAATATAGAGACATGTTTGATTGGTCTTTTTTTTTGCTTTCAAAATTACTTAACAAAAGAACTATGATTAAAATATCACCATAATATAGAAAGTTTTAGGAGTACAGCGATGAGACAACTCAAAAATATTAATACCGTATGTAAAAATATATAAAAAACACTGTTATTGAAATGAATGCAAATATCGAACAAAAATCAAATATTAGTTGGTCTCATGGAATTTGTATCAGTTACAGCACGATTGATAGCAATATCCTTGTCTTGTTGTGCCATAGATGTTTTAAGTGTATTTATAAGACTTCGTGGTGCTTTTAAAATTGTAGTTTCATGTATAATTTGTGTTACATTACTAGGCATTCCACTTAATTCCATAGCTGATGTTTGTGTACCTTCTACTCGATCTGTTTGTGTTCCACGTTCAGTATCCCAAAATTTAGGTTCAGTTTGTGCATCACGTGTTGATTTATGAATTACTTTTTTACTTTTGGCTACAGGATCAAATTTATCTGATGTATCAACACCGACATCACTTATATTATGTCGAGCATTTCCAGATGCATGTAAATCATGACAAACAGGACAAACAAATGGATGATGATAAGATGTTGGTGGAAATGCTTGAAAATGATGCGTATGATGCGGATTAAGATGATAATAAGGATGAGGATGGGGATGAGGATGAGAACTGTTGGCAACATTTTTTGGTCGTTGATGTTGAATGATAAATGGTTTTGGTTTCTCTTCTTTACCTTCGGCTATTCGACGACTACGCCGTAAAACAAAAGCTTTTTCTCTAGCTTCTTTTTCTTTTATAATTCTATATAAAGCTTCTTGTTCATGACTTTTCTTATTTCCATCATTACAACAATCAAGAAAGACGATAATAAAAGTAATAATAGCTAATGTGCCTGCCCCACTAATACCATATAATTTAATTTCTCTTTCTTTCGATGAATCTATTCAGGTATAAAGTTAGAAATTAAAGACAAAAGTGTATCATCACTCACCAGTAACAAAGTAGAGGATCGATAAGACAAGAGATATGAAAGAAATAATAAATAAAATACCAATACAAATGTACCAAACTATTGTTGAAGCTATGATAAAAAACAGAACCAGTAGATGTAAATCGAATATTGAATATAAATAAAAACATTGCAAATAATGATGAATTTCTATTCAAGTTATTTTTCTCACCTATTGTAATGCCAAATGGACCACGATATGAAGGTCGATCAGCAGGACTCTGTTATTTAATAAAAAGAAAAAAAAAACAAGACAATATATAAATATTAAAGTTTCTTATATGTAGTAGATGACCTGTGGTGGTGAAGATTCTGCCTTTTTTAATTTTTGAAAATTTTCTTGGTCTTTTTCTACGGATGTTTGGTCATCATCGAATGATTGGTCATCGGAAAACCTTTTTTTATTATTATAATTATCAATAATCAATTTATTTGTACTATTGGCACTATTTCGATCTGTTGTTGCTTGTTCTTTAGAACTATGTTAGAATATAAAGAGATATTAGGCTATCAAAAAAGATTGTTTCAAAATGAAACATTGATTTACCTGTTAGCGTCTGCCATTTCGTTGTCTTGATTACTGCATTTATTTTAGTTGTGCTGTGTATTCAAATTTTAAAAGCATAAAGAAAATGAAAACATACACAGGAAAGAAATCAAGAGCATACAACTTTGTTTTTCAATCATTTAGTAAAAGAAAAAAAAAGGCGAGCAAAGAATAAAATTCTTAAAGTAAATAAAAAAAACGAAAGAAACGAACATTATTATTATTATTTTTAATACCGTTTTCAGCATTTGATTGAATATATTCTAACCATAAAAAACATACATGAAACTGTATCTAGTGTTCAGTATGACAGAAAAAAATAGTGATAAGATAAATGATTTATTACTCCGCATGATGAATAGAAAGTTTGTTTTTTAATAATTATCTCATTTACAATTACTAATACAGTATTGCTTAACAATAATAACAACAGCATGCAATCAAGTTCTTTCTTTTTCTTATTCGAAAGCGAAGCTAAAGAAGATAGAAAGATTGATGTTTTTAGACAAGCGTATAATTTCAATTTGTTCTTTTTTTCTCTTGTTGTGCTACCATTTCCATTGAGATCAAAATCCGGAAGTTCGCTCACGAGATTGTAATCAATCCTTGGAAAATTTTATCATCAATCATTTCTTGAAATGACAAAGATCATTATCTCATTTGATAAAATAAAAAATACAACAAAATATATGTACGCAAATACACGATTTTATCATGAGCGTAAAATTTTTTCAGTTCTTCATAATTCACTAAAGAGTCATGCTGGCATTTTTATATATATGTGTGTACCATAATAAGATAATCTTATCAACATCATCATCATCTTCATCAACAACAACTGTCTGCTTAGCGTTCTCGCATTTTTAAGCTTGTCATTTCTTCAACACACTATCGATTGGTATATATACAATTGTCTTTTTTTTTTTCTCTTTTTTTATGTTTTTCTTGATGATGATTGTGCCAAGGGCCATTTACTAATAGAGACATCATTTATCTTTTTATATATGTATGGCATATATACATTTTATTGAGCCTGGTCGACTTCGAATAATTAACATGTCACCCTACTTTCTTATATTATTGCTTATTATTATTATTATTATGAACGATTTATTATTTATTAAAGTTAATGCACATGGAATCATATTACCAACTATTAATTGTGTAAATATTTCATTGGCAAGTTTATCATCACGAGATAATGATAGGCTTCCTCAATTGAAATTATTTGCATCACCACAATTTATGTCAAATTATTCACTTTCATGTGGAAGATTTGATATGTAAATATATTCTTTGATTTTAAATTTTGATATAAAAAAAAAAAAAAACGAAAGAAAAATAACTTTATTCTATATAGACGATGTGCTCATACGGTATATGCTAAATCAGTTAATTCAGTAATTGAAAGTCTTTGTTCAATTTTACAAACACGTCCCTTACTTTTAATTTACTTAAATGATTATCCGAATGAAAATCATGCATCACCAGCAGCTTATATATTTCTTCTAAAATTATTTACATATTTACAATATCCAATGTTAACATTTCATTATTTTCATCCTTTTCATCCAGGAGTAAATTCAAAAACTTTTTTTTTTTTAATAATATTTTTTCAATAATTTTTTCTCTATGTTATTTAGAATTTTCCAAGTTTTCGTTTTTTTCAATTAGCACCAACCTATAGAGAAGAAGCACGAGCTTTAATATCATTAATGGAACGATATGATTGGAATACATTTTCATTAATTATTGATCCTACTTTACCAGGTGAAGAAGAACTTATAGATGAATTTGAAATACATGGAAATGAACAACGAAATTGGTAAATTTATTTAAGAAAATTTTTCTTTATATTAATATCAAGAAAATTTATTTTAGTAAAAGAACGATCTGTAATCGTAATCATTTGAAAGGACAAAAAAAGTAAATATATTAAACATTTGTTTTTCTCTTGATCATTCTATTAAATCTATTTTTAATATTTTCTCATTATTAATTTGAATTAAAAATTAACTTTACTAATCTGCAAGAAAAAAAAAATGGAATTTTTTTTTTTTTATTAGTCTAATTAGCAAATCAAATAACTACTAGTTACATTGATTTTATTTAATTTAAACAAATATTAGATATGAAAAATAATTATTAATAGACAACTGGGATTGAAATATTAAGAAAAAAAATATCAATCATGCGAATCAATGAGTTCGTTGATCCCATGAGTATTTGTACAAAAAAAAAAATATGACATAACTATCATGAAGAGATTGAATTTGTGTAAAGAATTTTTTTCTAATTATTATTTTTTTTTCTTCTAATTAGATTAACTATACTTTCAACAATTCGTATGCACAATGCAAATCCTCTATATATAAAACAACAATTATCAT